AGGAGACTTTAAGATGAACAAACAAGAGTGACATTCTGAGAAAGAAATCCAAGTCAACATGTTGCTCAAGGAGCTCTTTTTATATTTACTTTGTTTGTTTTTATGCTGATGATTATTTCCTGTGTACCCCCTGTAGCTAAAGCAGGACAAGACTCCTGAAGGCAGAGAGGAGCTGAGGAACTCCATCAACAGAGAGCCCATCTACGAGTGGGAGGGCTCTCAGCGGGACAGCCTGGGCACCATCACCTACGTCACTAAAGTCCGACTGCAGCACCTGCCCTGTCAGGTACGCCATCACTGCTGCTTATCAAGATTTAATTACTATAAATGGTCACACAGAAGTAAAACATACTATATCTGCTCTTGCCTAATAATGGACATATACAGTAGATCAGACAGTTACTCATGGTACATACTGTACATGTTTTCAAACTCTGGGAATTTTTCACACAATGAATACAAGCAGGGTCATATCAGCTCTAAATCCAGGTGACTCACATAGTTTTTGAATTGCGCAACACATTACCTCAACACAATGTAAGGAGTGAGGGAAAGGGTGGAGTCTACATTTAGGCAAATGATACCTCTCCTGCAGATATACTTGTTTTCTATTATGTTTATTTTCCTGTCAAGGCATAACACAGTGTCTGGCACCTGCAACCAACTGATGAAACATGTACGACTCCTTGCTAACCAAGTCAGACATGAGCACAAATAAATAACGCTGATGCAGCATCACATAGCAGCCAATAAAAACAGTGGTCATGACACGGCTTGCATGGATATCAGTATATAATTCTCTGTGGGAAATCGCGGCAGCCCTTTTTGAAGTGTGTGAGATTTAGGGCCTGGGTGTGTGAGAGGCATTTGCCCAGCTCACGCAGTGACTCGACTCACCTCACAGCTGGAATGTCAGCTGTCTGTCCGGACACACCCTCCGAGAGGGAGAGGAAACATAAACTCTCAGTCTGCCGCACCTTTAAATGCCCCCCTAACTGGTTTGACTGAAGATCACTACTGGGATTTAAACTGTGCCCCTCAGCACATCATTAAAGGATAATGCTGGTGTTTTTTTAATGTTTGCACCAGGTCTCACAGCTGCCTCTGTGCTTTGTATTCATAGTCTTATCTTCACACAGTCAGAATAACTGGAGTTATCAGGGATTGTTTTCTTATCCTCTGAAGTATTTGGTGTCATTCTTTCCTGTACCACATCAAAACTTTAAAAAATTCCAGAGATAGATGAATGAAGCTTTAATTTGATTTACTCTAAGTTTCTTTTTTACTTTATTGTACCAAATAATTTTCCTTTCCCTTTGCACACAATGGGAGAAAATGACGTCTCCAGAAGAAAATAATCTTTCATTTTGTTTTCTAATTAATATGACTTTTAAAGTCACAAGGTTTAATTTACAGTGAAAGAATTATGAAGGGAAAATGCAAGCAAAATATAGACAATGGTTAACAGATATTATTCATAAATGACAGTAGTATTATTCAGTGAAACACAACTATATACACATAAAGCTCACAAGCAGCTATAATCTTGTGTCCACAGGAACAGAGTGACAGACTACTAGTAATGTATCCAGCAACGCTGATCATCCTATCAGAAGAGGATGACGGGCTCTTCTATAAGGTACCATTGGCCTCACTGACCTTTTACTCTTCATCTTAATCATATCCTGAGCTGTGTATACAGCATATGCAGAGTTTGTGTTAACAAGTCATTATGATTACAGGGGAAACTTCCACTCAACATGATTTCTGTGACCACACCCTGCCAAGATGTCAAGCCCAACACATTTATGATTGAAGGTAAATACACAGAATCAGTGAGCTGCTCTACTGCAGTCTCTTTAGCACACTGGCATTTAAAAATACATGTTAAAGGGATTTTAATGAGTGTACATTCTTATGCATGTTTTACCCTAAGTGGCCTTTTCCATGACTCCATTAGCGTCACAGTGTGTAACCCTCCATGAATGAGCTGGTTTTATCCCCAGAATGACAATCTGACTATAGCACATTCCATTGAGTGAATGGACCGAATGACAGGCTTTGTCCTCCCCCTGCTCTCTTCCCAGGGAAGCTGATCAACCCCATAGTCGTGTCGTGTCTGGATAGGAGCGAGTTCTGCGACTGGATCCAGCATTTCAAAGCTGCTGATGTGCCCGTTCTCACCCCCCCGCCCCCCGTGTATGACATCATCTACACCCCGACGCACAGAGAGGTGAGGCCCGCCCTCCTTCCTTTAAAAAACAATTACACTATTCATAGCTGCAGCTGATCCATAACTATCGAGTGTATATATCTCCACCTGCTTTGTGAACCTGCGGGTGGAGTGAACTGAAATATGAGGAAAAATGATAAAGGAGACAGGAGACATGGCCTTGCCTCTTTTGTAAATTAACATTTATCAGGCCTATGAAATGATTTACAACTACTACAGCTGCTACTAAGTCAACAGTCTGATTAACAAAGACAAAATTTGCTCTTAATCAAATATTTTAATTTGTAATATATTTTTTTTGTCCTATAATCTCTAGGCTCCACAGTTTGACAGGTGGAGTGGAAACAGTCAAGGACGAAGTGAGTCTCTTAAATTCAGACAGTCACCCAGTGGACGTAACCTGCAGTTACCCATTCATGAAGACAACCCTCTCTCGCCAGGATACTCTGAACCCCTCTGTGTAAGTCAGCTGTGTGCTACTTCTCAAGTTCAAGTATTCTTGAGCTAATAAACTGAAGCAAACACTACAATATTTGCCCAGATAAAAATGTGGTAGGAGTAACCCTGTACATTGCTAAAATAGCTCTGTTTGTTTTGGTGGAGCTGAGCAGCAACACCTTTCTTTTACAAAGTTAATTATTAAGAGAGGTCTAGAGACGGCTCCTGTTACAATGGCTCAGGTGATGACCGTCAGGCCTTCCAGTTTAAAAAATCATAACAAAGTCAAAAATAACATCCACCCATAAAAACAACTTTGGGATGTTGGGAATAGTTACAGTACATGCTGATTCAGCAGAGAAAAGTTTGCTTGTTAGCTTCAGTCTATTTAAAAAGTACTGAAGCACTCTGCATTATCAGGACTTTTGACCAAACTCCCCCAGGAGAGGGTAGGCCGACTACCCATCCAATTAGCTTAAAGTGGTGAGGGCTCAGTGCCCCAGAAGACATGTTGTTGTTCAGCTTCTGACCATGAACCACCACTCTCTCATTTTAATTTATGGAGACCATTTTCTCTCAAACTCAGAAAACTGCATTTACTAAAAAACACAAAATGATGTAGGAAACTAATGCTGAACAGAGGAGAAACTGTTTTTTAATGTTTGTTCTACTAGGACTCAGTGGTTGTTGTAAAGCCACAACTCTTGGCTGACTTTTGCCCTGGGTGTGTTTGTTGTCCCTACAGTACAGCTCCAGTCGTCCCTCCTCGACTGAGACAGCCCGTCTGGGCAGCAGGACCAACAGCGTGTCTTCCCACACCAGGCCAGAGCGTGACCTACGACCTTTGTCACTGCGCTACTCCTCCCCACAGCGTGGCTCCTACCTCCAGCCTGCCGAGAGCTCAGTGCTGTCTCAGATCTACAGCACGCCCTACTCTGCCCAGCATCGTGCCAGTCCACAGCGGCTCGAGAAAGCCCCGCTTGTCAAGGTAATTCAGTCTGGCGTCCAACTTGATAACTGAATATTCCCTTCGAGACTGTTGACTTATTTTACATGTCATCTGTGCAGTAACTAAAATAGACACACCAAGCCAACTGAGAGGGGTTATAATGTATGGTGTTAACAAATTGGGTAATAGGGGCATTTGATGGTGCAAGGAATGAAAGCTCTATTATAGTTCATAAACAAAACTTAAGCCACCAGAAAACATTTACTAGAGGGTATCCCTACATTACTATGTCAGTTAAGAGTGTAGTTTTAACATTTGACAGCTAAAAGCTGATTTGTGAGAGAACAGATTGTTGTCACACCAGCACTGCTGCATATCATGACTGGCATTAGGCCAAAACCCATACTTGGTAATCTGATCCTAAAGTGCAGAGAGAAAAACAGATAGACAAATAGAGTAAATCTGCAATTGATTTTTCTCTCATCACTTGGCGTTTTAAACTAACTCCTGAATCTGTTTGAATCTTTTGTGATCAGTCTAACAGCTGGAGCACCCCTCAGACATCCCTGAGCTACTCCCTGAACACCCCCCAGCGCCACTCGGACATGTGCGCCCCCCGACAACCGTTGTCACCCCTGTACGATGAGCCCTGCAGCCCCGAAATCTACTCCCTGGATGAGGCCAGGCCAGTGGTAAGTGGGTCACCGATACTGGATCCATAGGTTCAATTTACACCAGCGCAGCCTGTTTGATATCAAGCAGTGCAAACACACTCACACGCTCATGTTCAGTGAAAAAATAAGAAAGATCAGAGGCCATCTGTCATCTTCAACCTGCAGAGTCTAATAGATTGCAGAAAGTGTTTCCACCTCTAAATCTAAATTCGTAAAAGACTCGTCACACTAATCTGGGTTAAATCATCTCAAACCAGCTCAGTTACATTTGATTAAAAAGAAGAACAGGAATTATTTTTACTAAAGTTTATTCATTGCAGTTTTACCCTTTTTGACCAAAGATCTATTTGACTACCAGGTAAAATTATACTTGATGAAAATCACCTAAACTCATGCTTTACATGCTTCTAGTTGCCCTAATCTGACATTTCTCCCTCTGTCCTTTAGCAGCAGAGCTGGCAAGAGCCGATTCAGTACCACCACCACCAGCAGCAGCAGCACCACCATCAGCAGCAGCATCAGGGCCCCCAGCTTCTACCCTCCACCTTCCAGCTCCGCACCCCTCCCTTCGGCAAGCGCTGCAGGAGAAGCCTGGTCCTAACCAACTCCCAGGGACAGGCTCTGGGCCTGGAGATGGAGACGCCTCAAAGCCAAGCAGATCAGAGAGCCGAGGCTGTGTCGAGGTTAAAGCTGCTTCCTGCGCCCGGCCAACTGCAAGAGCAGGTGAGAAACACAGAGATACTCCTCTCCCAGGACACTCCGGTGTCTGGAATGCTGAGGAACAAAGTGCAAAACGATGGCACGCTGTATGTTAGCAGAGCGCGTGTGTATATACTTGTTCTGCAGGTAATATTTTAACAGATGTCACAGATGAAACAGATATTTCTGGAAACATGAGAATGTTTTGTTATAGTTGATCACAGGAAAATAACTTTCTTTTGTTTTCACATCTGTTGATAGATTCTCCTCCCGTTGAGCTCTGTGAGGAACACCCCTCAGATGCCTTATGGTTACTCACCAGGTAAGAACTGAAGGCATGCAATCAAAAACCTGATGAAACCATCTTTTGTTTATGTATAATGTGCCTGGGTGTAGACTCAGAGTTCAAGTATGTTTGACAGTTTATAATAAATAATTATATGCTTCCAGTACTGACAAAAAAATATTTTTCATCTTGTCAAACAAGAACAAAAAGACGGGTCTAATTAAGAAGCATATTTCTGAAAAACAATGAGCACTATAGCACTGTAGCTATAACAACGCAGCATCATATTTCCTTAAGTGTGAGTTATGAAAGTCAACACTGTCAGCCGCCTTCCATACTACCTCCAAAGGACACAGAACATTGCTTACACTCCATTACACCTTAAATTAAACACTAAATGCACTTTGGATTTATTGAACTCTTGGGTCTGTCACCAGGTAAACAGAAGGTTAAAGGTTACAGAATTGAAAGTGCAGGAAATGCACAAATGTGTCAATGAAATGGAGCTTAGTGCAGCTCTAAATGCTATTTGTGCAGATGTCCCATGTGGTGTAAGAGAACACTGTTTCACAGACTTACTCCTGCACTGTGACTGACAGCACACAACTGGGCATGGTTACACACTTATCTACAGGGTGTTTTATCAAAATGGAAAGAACAACTAGAATTTACCTGATAATTGTATTTCACTTAGATTTACAGATTGATTCTAACATTATAACCAGATTATTTCATGTGGCAGGCTGCATGTTTCTGTAGTATGAGAAACAGAATATAAATAGCAAATAAAGGCTGGTGTGGTAGTGGCATGTTACACTACTGGTTTTACAGTTAGATAATATGTTGGTACAAGGCCAATCACACCATAAGCATGTTGGACTGTGTCCAAGTTTATTCAGTCAGGGCGACGTTTGTCTTTCATTGTTTGAAACTAAAAGCCTGGGAATCTTCTCTCGCTCCTATAGATCACCACTCGTACCTTGAACCCACAGAGCCAGATGACCAGGAAATGGACTATGACAACATTTGGGAGTATGACAGTGATACTGGAATGATTCAGCCAACGTCTGGAATTTCGACACACTGGACAGGATTAGACTTTGGGGCCACAGGCCTTGGTGCCATGGAAACCCAGCAGAGATGGTCATAAAACAAAACAATAGCCCGGCACTCGTCTGGATGTGTGCAAACAACAGATCTCTATCAGAGAGATAATAAAAGTCAACGAGCACAGCCTGTGTTGCTCCTGCTGCATACAGTATGAACCAACAAATCCCATGAACTGTTGTTACATGTTGGGTAGTCAAGCAGAGGAATGAGTGTAGGTATAAAGAGGAACGGGCTACCAACAAAGCATTATGAAAGTGACTTCAACTGTCTTTGTTTAAAATGTAGCATTAAAGAGAGAAGACAGCACGGTGTACATATTGTGTAGCTTTCATTTTATTTATGTATTATATTATTGCACTAAGGGTTTAATATGTAGTGCAAGGACCTCCATTTTTTTTATATTTAATGTATTTTCTAACATGCTGTCCAGTTTACTGATTGGTATATTTTTGTTTTGTTTCCAACTGAAGCTATAAAAAGCATTCCATCAGGGCTTGTTATAGTAAAGGATGTATATTTTTGTAAATGTTGTAGATTTATTATTTTATCATGTTACACTATCGAGGCAAATATTTGTGGCTTCAACTGACTGCCTCAAAGGTGCTAATATTACTATCACTACTACAGAGTACTGATCCCTGAGTGGCTTCCTTTTTTCATTTTTGTTTGAGGTGTTTATTTATACTTGGAAATAAAAACTGGAAAAGTTAAACGTTTTACTCTGTTTTGTCTTATTCTAATCATTCTCTTATGGCAGCCTTCTCTATGGAGCTTTACAGCAATGTAGCTTAGCTGTTTGGCCCGACACTGTTTTGGTTCACTCTCGTTGCTCTCACAGTGTAGTTTTCTGCCACTGAACACACCTGCTCAGCACTAAACGGCAGATAAAGTGAGTAACTAGCTAGTGAACATAAAGCATTAAAGAGCCAGATACTTCCCTCAGGAGTTTGTAGAGAACAAAAACAGAACTAAAAGAGAGTGAATATTGGACTGCCTTTGCCAGGTGGCCAGACACACAAATCCAAGTGAATGAAAATGTTGCATAACTGCTGGATAAGCAGTAAATAAGCAATTGTGCCCAAAATGGCCCAAATGGTCCAAAAAAAAAGTTACTGCAGGTTTAAATCTGTGGTATAAAATTCAGTACGAACACACAGACACACAGACACAGACACACACACACACACACACACACACACACACACACACACACACGAACAGTATACGTGTATAAGTAAGTACACTGGCTGTTTTACAGCAAAGTAATTAGAAATAGGGGAAATAGATCAAATAACTGTCAAGATTTTATTTGGACATGAAAAAAAATCAATGAAACAAACACCAGTAAACACGTTGTTGTTCATGCATGATGCCACTACGTGTATTTTTTTGGGCCAAATCTGTTATAATGAGAACAGCTTAGCTCAACATTGCCATTTGCTGGAGAAACAATATGTATAATTCTCTCCAGTGAACACTTAATCTTATGTTGAATACACATTTTATGTGTATTATAATGAATTAATGTATTATATTAATTAATACCTTAAACAAATGTGATATTATCTTGACAGTGGAAAAAAAGTATTTTATATAACTTGAAAACTGCAGCTCAGTGTGATACTCCAAGTTCTTACATGGGCTTATGTTGCCCTCTAGTGTTTCATTAGAAGGTCTGCATACTTTTGGAATAACAAGACACAGCACACATCTCCGAGATGCTGTTTACTGTAGTTAAAATGAAAGACACCAAGAGCTCACAGAGCAACCCGTATGACAAAATACTGTACAGTCATATATAAATGATCCATCATGAAAATAAAATGCCCTTCATACATATAAAACTGATACTGGCACAGAATACAGTCCCTCAAATAAATTATACTACTGTAAAGGTGTTTTGTTAAATTTTGGAAAACATTCCAACACATGTTACTTATATGATCTTATTTTCTAAAATATGTTCAAATATTGTTATTGGAAACATTTAACATGCTTAAGTCGCCTTAGATGAAAGCATCTGCCAAATAAATATAATGTGATGGAAACAAATAGGCTCAAACAGCATCATCCTAAACTCTTCACGTGCCTCAAGTTAATCCATTTATCATGTCCATCTTACATCTAAACTCTGTACAGCTCTGAGTAAACCTGCTCCTAATCTTCCTATTGTACATACTGAAACCTTATTTACAAATGTCTAAAGCCTTCTTTCTGATGAATACACACAAGTCCCATCTTGACTGTGGTGGTTTCATATTTCATACTGATGTTTTCACACATTAAAATGTTTAACAATTTAATTAGCAAGGAGCAAAACAACTGCTATTAAATTAAACAATTTCCCGGTACCTACCAAAAGAGAGATTAATAAAATTTAAGATTAATAAAGCATATAGTGCAAACATGTAACAGCACATCAAACATTTGACAAATTCCTCAAAGGACTGAGGTCCTGCACTGACTCATATCAGGTGCTCTTGGAATTTTTTTTCATTTTAGTCGTGACGTATTTAGAGGCAGAGTTGTCAAGAATCAGTCAGGGCAGGGTAATTAAGTTTCTTTTCACCAGCTGCTGCCTCTATCTTGACGTATTTACGCAGGTATCGGATGGCTGACAGAGCACTTACATTCGCCAGCAGAACTGTGGGAAAATACATATAAAAACTGAGTCAACGTGTTTACACTTTATCTATCCATATGAAGTTCACTTGTACATGCGTTTATTTTATTTCAGTGCTTTGTTGATTTTACATCAATATTTACTGGGAGACATATTTCACTGTCTCAGAATATCATTAACAGTCAGAGTCCATAAAAAGTTAAATGAATTGATTTCAATATATAATTAAGTCAAATGTAAAATGAATAAAAACAGAATAAGCAACTGCTTTGTAATTTCAGTCTTAAAAACATCAATAAAAGCAACATTTGCAGATTTTCTGTTATAATAAAGTACATTATTGCTACATATTAACACACATACCAGCCTTCCAGGCATCTCCAACTTGTGGGTTCGCAGTCTTCAGCACCCACGAAGCAAATGCAATACAAACTAGGCACATGTCTGACTGTCTGAGAGGCAGGAGAGAGGCATCCAACCCTTCAAAGAAAGTGACAGAATATTATACATAACAACATGAATCAGTTAGTGTGTCTCACAAAATTACAACAACCATCCACAGGAGTGCAGTGAGAGGTCAAGGGTATTATAATTGGCACTAACACACCAACAGCTGAGCACAAGCCCCCAATAATATGTTGATAAGATGTTGGACTTCCTGTTGTGTCACACTGTGACTCGGTCAAGTCCCAGCAACTGTACAGATTACCATTACACAAACATACAAGACTGCTTGACGCTACTGATATTAAAGATAACTTCAGATGTTATATTAAAAGTTGTAAGTTATTATCTTAATTTCAGCTCATTGGAAGTATAAGAAGAGGGATTTATATACGTTAAGACTACTCAAGTTGAGGTATTTTCATTTCCCTTCCCTGTCAGTGTAAATTAAGAGCGCTCTACTGGCAGCTTAGAGAGAACACTCATTGAGTGAAGTCAAGTTATCACGTACAACCATTCCTCTTGGCGTTCGTGCAGTCCAGTCAGTGTCTTCTGACAGCTGAGGTAAGAGAGTCCGGCCCGGTCATGACTGTAACAGCTGACTGAGTGGATTACATATCTTACATTACAACTGTCCACATGTGAGGAAAACCCAGAGCTTAACTGAAAGAGGTGTAGGTACATTATCAGCAATGTATGTTTTTTTAAATCCAGCAGTGGGAAAAATGTACAGGTTTTATCAAAGAAAGACTTATGTATATATAATTAAATTATTATTATAGTTAAAGAGTCAGAGCTATCTGCGTTAGCTTGTTTTCACAAAGATACTGTCTCTGTCTGATCTGTTAGACTCTAACTAGAGTTTTAACCAAGTTATACACTATTTTTAAGCCCAAAGTGTTAAACTGAAGAAGAGCTTTCTATGGTAACAATCAACATAAACTGTTGACTACTGAAATAAATAAATTTTTGGTTTGCTAACACATTTCAACTTTTGGTATTCCTTCATTTGAGACTGCGCAAAGCACAATTCAAACTTTTCCAGTAAGTTGTAATCTTTTTATTTTAATTTTCTTTTTCATATTTTTTTTGGGCCTATATTTAATAGGGTCGGTGAAGATAGACAGGAAAGGGGGGAGAGGGCAGGCCGGACGACATGCAGCAAAGGGCAGCAGGTTGGAATCAAACCCAGGCTTCATTGGTATAAAGAATGGATGAATACAGAATCAGCATCGTTGAGTCTATTGTGTGAAACTGGACTTACTTGGATTTGAAACAGCCATCTCTAAGTCCCCGTATCTGAAAGGCTGCTGCTCTAGTTGTCTGGAGATCCTTTCCTCCAGGTGGTAGAGAAGTGGATCAGAAAACATCACATCTTGATTTCCCAGAGCATTTATGGGATGAACTGTCCTTCGAAGGGATCTGCCACTTTGCTTCACAGGTACAAGAGTGTTTGAGAGAGCCTCCTTCTGGACTGTAGATCCAGTAAATCTAAAATTCCTGAAGGAGAGTGTGTTTTTCCAAAAGAAATTCTGTTTGAGGTCGCCATCTGTAAAGAAATTCTCATAAACATCAGAAATCTTAGATGCGCTTGGTGTACGGCTGAACCTGTTCACCACCCTCACAGGGCCGCAGGTATCTTCTTCATCAGATTCTTCATCAGAAGAAGAAGATGCAAAGAAGTAATCATAAGCCTCAGGGAACTGCAGATTAGCTGAGCGAGAGCAGGAAAAGATAGGAACCAGCTCATCTTTGGCCTGATCTTCTGCTGTGATGAGAGGGTAGAAGAAGGTTTCTGTATCAAACTCTGAGAAGAAATGATCATAAGTTTCAGGGACAGAATTTCCATCAATGTAGCAGGTGGTTATGTTATCTGTGTCTGGTTGGCTTCGATTCGATTGTATTCCACCAAAGAGGTACTGAAATATATCTGTGAGAGAGATTCTGTAGCTGTCGGTCGAAGATGGAGCCAAACAGTCAACGTCTTTGTCTTGCTTGTCTCCATCAGTGAAATACTCTTTTACTTTTTCGAATTCTCCTCCTTTGTCTAAGGTTTGTAAAGTTTGGCCTTTCCATGTGTAGTTGATAGTCTCCAGGGCATGTAGATTGTGCACGCTTACATTTTTACAAATCTTTCGGAGGCATGTTTGAGCACTTCCAGGGAGGACCGGTTGGGAAATGTTACTAACAGATGTCAACATCATGTTCTCAGTGTAAATATCAGCACCTAGACTCACTGGAGTGGATTCACTCTCCCACATAACACCTCTTGAAGAGGAAGACTTGAATGTCGTACCTAAACCTGAACTCGGTTCTACAGAGTTAGGATCACTGTATGTATCATTGGTTTGTTCAAACTTGGACTCATCCAGTTGAGTAAAAAAGCCTGAATCCGTCATATCAGACACCTCAGTCTCCTCACTTTCCTGTAAAGGTGTGAGAGAGCTGGGAGGAGTAGCTTTGCTGATCATTCGTAAACCCAGAATATCATTTATTGTCAGCCTCTCCATCTCATTCCAAAAAGATGACATAGCGAACACTGAATGTTTTGCATCTGGTGCCTTTTCAGGTTCACATCCTGCTTTAGATGCTGTGATGGCATCTTCTGCTTCAACCACTGAATCACATTTTGAATCTGTTGTGTCAGACTGGCTTTTGGGTCCAAATGTGTCATCTCCTTCCTCATGTTTTGCCAGTATTAGTGATGTTTTTTCTCCTTGACCTCTAAAGTCATTCTGACTGACAGATATACAAGAACTCCCTGACACGTCTGTGATATTTTCATTTGAGAGTGACATGACAGATTCTGTGTCCAGAGTACAGCAGGATGATACTGGTGTAACATCTGGAAGACTTGTTGGTAAATCTTCAGACATGGACGTTTTGGTTTCTCTCCGACTTTTGCCTGTTCGATTAATTTCACCACAGAGATATGGATTCCCACTATGAAGAGCCATTATTTGTGATCCTGCTAATTCAGCTCTCTCAGCTGTTGTGTTTTTCTCTGACAAAACATAAAATTCTGATAATGCGTGAAGCGCCAGAGGAGGTTTTGTTTGCTCCGCTGTAATATTAATACTTCCAGAGAGACAGCATTTATCCGTCAATGAATTGCTGGTATCTAATGGTAATTCAGCACAGTCCTCTCCAGTGGAAATCACCTCTAAGAATGGACTGGCTGTAGTTTTGAATTGCTTCGGCTCCGAGTTGTGAGTGTCAGAACTGCTCATATGATTTGTAGACAGGGGAAAGTGAGTCTTTTCCAGTGTAGAGCTATATTGGTCTGTGTAGTGACATTCAAATTCCAGTTGTTGTTGGGGCTCAGCCTCTTTTTGACACAGTGTGCGGTTGTCTCTGCCAGGAGTTCCAGCCTCTACAGCCAGGACTGACTTAGCAGCGGATAGTTTGTCCTTTTGGATGACTTCCACTGCGGGATCATTTGACTCTGCACTTGGTAAAATACTGGGAGTTAGTGATGTGACCTCTGCTGTACAAGATTCTGGATTTTGTTCATGTTCACCACAAATTATAGGATGATGAAGACTCTCTGCATGAGTGTCCTCTCTTCCACAGTTTGCTGTTTCTGTAGTCAGGTCTGATATACCAGTTACACTGTCAGTAATTGAAACTGGCAACACAGGATGTGTATTCAGTCCCGTTGATTCTTCTACCTGTAATGTGCTGAATGACAGTATATTTGTTGCCACATTACCACTGTTATTTTGTGCTAACGTTACACTATCATCACTTTGACTCAGTGGGGTTACCGACCGATTGTAAGTTGCATTATTTTCAGCCGAGCCTGTTGCTTTACACCTTCCCTGTCTGTCTATGCTCTCTGGTAAATATTGGTATTGACTGTAACATGGGGGACTGTAGTGAGAAAGATCATTTACTCTTAGGTCCTGAGCAGATATCTTCACTGGGTGATTGCTGGTGGCAGAATATGTAGTTAAAGAGGACATAACATTTTTCTGTGGTTCATTTAAATCAAATAAATTTGTATCCTCGGATACACACAGACCGATTCCTCCTCTCCATGCATATAGCTCTTTCTCTGAGTCAGTCTGTCTCTCATATCCATGCACACACTCAGCTGGCTCAACACTGAGTCGCCTCTTCTTCCTCCTCCTCCGTCTGATAGAGCCAGAAGGAGACAATTCTTGGCTCGCCGTTTTGTTTGTGCTTGTTACATCTGACTGTAAAACATTAGGGTCTTCCTTCCATTTAACATTTGTGACCATTTCTACATTACTCCGTGATTCGGTGCTGCACTTTTTACCAAGCATTAACTGACTTGTCAGCAAGTCTTCCTGCTTAACGTCATCCAGAGGTGTGCCAATTTCCACCTTTATCGTTTTGTCAGTGTGAGTTGTTGTTTCAACCCCATTCGGTGATTCATGCGACTGTCTCTGCTGTGCTGCCTCATTTACTCTGGTTTCGGTGCAGGCTCTCTCTATGATGAATACTGCAGGTTCAGGGGAAATGTTGGAACCAGGCTCGTCTTTTTTCACTGTTTTCATTATGTTGCTGATGGTGTTGACAGGCTTTGTGGTCTCTTTGCCAACTGCTGTTTCACCCCTGGCAGGCAGATAGTTTAACTTGGGGATGTTTTTTGGCAAAGTAGTGCAGCTGGCTTGTTGCCCATCACTACACCACTCCTCCTTCTGTATTGCCTCTCTGTTTTTTCCATCTCTCACTTGGCTCGGGTCAGTAAGCCTCTCAGCCTCTGTAACATTTTTCAGCCGTTCAAAGAATATATTGACAGACTGCAGGTGTATATCCTCCTCACTGCCAGACAGGACGCTCTCCATTCCACCGACGCCGTGTTTGCCGAGGTAATGCTCCACAGGAGAGCCCTCACAGTCTGGGGGGCCGTCGATGAGGCGGTCAGCCTCTGTAAAGCCTGCTGTTGGGTCGACTTTCTGAACCCTCTTAGCAAGAATGGATGCTGTATCATCAATGTCACTCATTCCCGAGTCATCCACGCCTGCTAATGAAGGAGGAAGCAGGTTACACTCCTCGCACTCCTCAAAGAAGCATTCCCAGTCACGGTCACAGATCTCCACACTGTATTCGAAGTCTTCCATTTTGATATGGAGGGTGCAATATAACCTGAAATATCACAAGTAATTACTGGTATTTGTTTATAAGTATTTGTATTTCTTTGAGGAATTTTTTGTATCATATTTTCTTAAATCATTTAATCATTCATTTACTAAATGAGTAAAAGATAATTAAATTGGATTAGATTTTAAGAATTAATTAATTAATTAATGCCAAAAAAACTGCAAGCAGCATACCCCCAACAAACCCTAAGCTGTCAAACAATAACCAAATCAACAGGCTACTAACTACATACAGACTACATTTATGCAATCAAGTAGACTGATTTTAATTGTACACTATTTTGCAGCATAGTAAAAAATATCTAAATAACAGAATGAAATAGAACATTTTTAGCAATGTGACGTAATATAATATAATGGAAATCTCTTTCAGGGAAGCAATTCAAAACTAGACAATAAGCTAAAACTGCAAAATAAATTTAAAGTATAAGTATGACAACAGGAAGTATTAATTGTCTTTGTATTTCTAGCTGTCTGCATATGTACTTGTATATCCATGCAGGTTTCTTACCTGTGCTTCTTCAGCTGTGACCCTGGTCTACAGGAGGTGAAGGGTTAGGGGGTCTGGAGTCTCAGCAGCATCATGTTGTATGTCCTTTGGTGGGCGTTCTTTTGCACGAGCATGCAGCGCAGCAAGCCCCATGATTTGATAAATATAGAGCGATGCTTCTGATCACGTAATACACGCAATGTTCTTACGCAGCCATGTCCAACAGAGGCATAATGTTTCAGAACTTTAAATAGACTCTCCAGTAGTGAACTGCATAACTGATTACACAGTATTTTTAATTTTAATATTGTAATACTGATTATAATAACTGAAATCTGTAATAAAAGATATCTATATAATATAAATATATACATATAATTCTATATAATTTAATCAAATAAGTGATAAAGAAGCTCAAAATCCAGCAGTACCTCCAACAACATTCACAACCTCAGCTGATACGGTTTGTGCGGCGTGTGCGTGTCAGTCAGCTGATACCTCTCCGGTGTGATGTCATGGGGTGACAGTGGATCTGAATCTTTTCCATGCAATCTTTCCAGACACTGCAGGGGAGTCCGAATCATCAAGGGATGAGACTGTAGCTGCACCATGTGAGACGTGTGACTCATCTAAACCTAAATGACAGAAATACAGAGGGGAAAAAAATCAAATAATGTTTACTTCAGAGAAGAAAATCGACTACTCTCTAAGAAGGAATATTTTCATAATGGATTTATAAGTTGTAACTAATGGCTTTATTTCAAATGTATAGATGGATATTTGAGCTTCCCTGTGCAGAATAATATATGTGCAGAGTTGTTTTTTGTATTCATCTGCTGAAGGGTGCTCGCCTCAAATTTGCCACATGTTTAAGAGAAAAAAAAAAAATCACAACTACTTTGGAAGCCTGTCGTGGTCCAATATGCGACTTTGAGAAATATGATGTGGAAAGCTGAAGCCAACAGTTCACTACACTGAGAATAGACCTCTCAGTGAAATAGAGATTAAAATATACAGTACAATATAATAACAAATATAAAAAAGGAGATACCACAACCAACTGATTTTCAAAGCCTAAAAATTAGGGATATAACAATAAACTCAACTCGCAGTTCAATACAAGTCACAATACGATTTTCTCATGATTATTTTAACAAAATGAGATTGAAGGCAAATGAAAACTGCACTATATTTCTCAGACAGAAATCTACTAAATATATTTTCTTTAATATTTCATACACAGCTAGTGACGCAGTAGGACGTCGTACATGCAAAGTCAGAAGTAGAGAGCACCCTCTGCTGTTAAAAAAGAGTACTGCATGGCGTCCGGTCAGCTCAGTGGGTAGAGCTGGCGACCCATGTACCGAGGTTGAGTCCTTGCTGCAGCGGCCCAGGGTTCGAGTCCGACCTGCGGCCCTTTGCTGCGTGTTATCCCCCGTCTCTGCCCCCCTTTCCTGTCTACCGTCAGCTGTCTCTATCAATTAAAGGCAATAAAACCCCCAAAAAAATACTTAAAAAAAAAAAAAAAAAAAAAAGTACTGCGATCACATTTTTATCTAATTACTTTGAATCTTCGTACATTTGTATCACAATTTAACTGTCTTGAATATATTGTTACATTCCTATCCATAAATAGGTAATTTAGGCTTTATGGATTAATTAGCACAGCGTTTTTGTTCAAAATGGCTCAAGCCATCAGGTCTGCAACTATAAATAGTAGTGATTATTAGTCATTAATAAAGGCTTCCTTTATTACATTAAGGCAGCAAATCTGGAAATGTACATGTTTAGAAACTTGTTATGGATTTTGGTTTGGATGCAATGCAGCTCTTTTCCAGAAGGTAACTCTTCCTGGTGAATTAAAGAGTTAAATAAAAAGATAATGTAAGCTATACCAGAGGATATACAAATAGAATATATCAAATGAGTTTTCAACTCAAACATGTTTGTTATTAATGCATTATTACTGGTTTATAAAGGTTTATTAACCAAGTTATTAGTTCAGCTTCTAAACCATCTATAAACGTTAATGTATAATACATATAACATTTCAAGCTCCAAAGTCCTCTTAGTTGATTTTTGGAACAAGTAAAGTAGTTAAAAGAAAGGAAAAGAAAATGGAGCTGAGATTTTCTGTTCATCCATATACTTGTTTTTTTTTTTTTTAAACATTTTGACTTCTTGTCTCGCTACATTTGTGATCATTACCTCCTCTCCTGTGACTGCTTGGCTTCTGATATTGGATAGTGGATCTAATTTGTAAATTTACTTTGCTATTACAATTAAACTTTACACTTTTTACTTTACCAAATGAATTCTGGTGAGTGTTGGGAGACGCTCAGACTCTTGGGTAGCTGAAATTATGGCACAGATGTTAGGATAAAACCACAGCTTATTTTCTGCTTGAACATTAGGGAGTACAGCTTATCTGAGGAGGACTTGAGCCTTTGTTTACAGCTATCAGTAAGACTTAGTAAGGACAATGTGATTACGGGACCATCCTTGCTGTCAAAATGTCACTGACACTGAAAGATACCAAGATAACCTATCAGTCCTGATCTCATTATCAACTGTTAAACTGTAGTTAACAGATGCCTAATGTGCCTTAATTGCAGTTGAATGTATTGATTAACGATGATGGGGTCCCATTGCTAATTTAGAATAAAAATACCTCACATGATAGATTTTCCTGCTCACTGACAGTGCTGTTTGGTGAATTAACAATATGAAAACAGGTGAGTTTTGTAGATTCTTCACAATAAAAGATTAAGCTAGAGGTATCACTCTACTTAAAAGATGAAATTTGGTTAATTCCTGCATTTGTAAAGTCACACATGACCCAGATTTTCCTTCACACAGTCACTCTACATTCAGAATTTGCATGTGACACTTTCACAGGCTGTAACTACAGCCTTTATTTGCCTAATTTTCATCACTATAGATATTTATGAGAAAACAGACCCTCTAATTAGCCAAACCACAGCCTGGGCTGTGTGCCCAAGAGGGCCCTCTCAATTCATCAGCTGATAAAGGAAGACAAGCCAGGGCCTGTGTGGCTACTGCACCTGGGGCAGCGGGCCGTTTTGACACGGGTGGGATTCTGTTTCCATCAACAGGATTAGGCTCTTATGAGTCAGTTCTTGGAGTTAAGATTGGAATCTGTTTGGGCTGTTTCACAGTGGCTAATGCGACAGAATTTCACCCTAATTGTTTACCATGTCAGCCCTGGCAATTCAGCGTCAATTAAACAAAGCCCAGTAAACAGACACATTCAGCAGCAGCTCAGTGACATGATGTTTAAACAGAGAGGAGTTTGTGTATGGTCCCGTTACCAAGCATCCTTGGTTGGTGGCATCTTATGTGTCAAACACGGGTGTAAAGTCTTAATTATGGTAAAGTAAAGGGGAGAAAAACAGAAAACAGTAGACAAAGATTCCTATTTTGGACTTTGGGGACTGTTTAGAAAGCCTCCAGACTGTTTAGCAATTGACAAATGCCACACAGGTTGATGTAGACTCTTTACAGGAGGGCTTAACTGCTAAGAGAGAGAAAAAGTACTTCAATTACACAGCATATAGGTGTAAAAGAATGATTAAAACTTGACTAAGTTTAAATATATTAGTCATCACTCTCCAGTTTAGTTAGCAGTCATTGTTTTAGAAGAAGTAGACTTTACAAGATGTGATACAGCTTCTGTAATTGTTTTTCTCTTCTTCAGTGGAAATGTGCTGCAGTATCAGGGAGGGAATGAAGTGTGTTCATCAAATGAAAATGTCAATTAAACAAATTAGATGAGTTTTTCTTGTATTTCAATATTTGAAATTTAGGAGAATGATGCTCATAAATGGACTTCTCTGTATAATATAAATTAGTTGGTGCACATCACTGCTCCATGACATGGTGCTCCAACACTGGCGTGAGTCTAAATTAATCCTACTCCTTGGTCCTTTTGTTACAGTTATCAGAAATAATAATAGTTACCTTATAATTGGCAACCAACTAGTTGATTATAAATCATAAGGTGTGAGATCTATGACCTCAACTTGATGATTATAAGGCAAATATTAACAACATTATATTTATAAATCAACTATTGGATCAATTTTGCTGTCCATTTTAATCAAATGTGTATCAGTATAACATAAGAGTCAACGCGTGTGTATATGAATTTATATGCTATGAAAATCTGTTTTAATTTGCCCTTTTCATCTCTTTTCCACTTTTCTTCCAGGAATACTTTGCATTCATAGGCCGAATAACTTTAAAACGAGTAAAACCGCTCTTAAATGTAGTAATCGATTGTTTCACAACACCAGGAACTGGTCTAGTTTCCCATTATACAATTTAAAATGGTCGTACCTGTCGCCTACTGGTTTATCCTCACCTCAGAGGGAAGCAGAGAGCGCCTGCAGGCCCTCAGGAGGATTATGCGTCCTGACAATGGTGAGATTTGATCAGGCGCACTAACAAAACATCATTGTGCTCACCTCAAATGTCACCGACAACACAGCAGTATCAGTGCTCCGGCCGTTTCGGGGTCATGTCAAAATCCACCAGGTCGACTCTGCAGAAATTAGACTGTACCTCCAGGCGACTGTACCGACACTGCGACCTGAAAAGAACCCAGGTCGGTTCACTTTGCTGCCACAGACCTCGTTATTTTCTGCGCAGCATTAATGGAGAATACCTGGTTGCAACATAGTGAGAATGAAACTGACTTGTGTAACATTATGTTGCATTACATTTGACTGGGAAGAGACTACAAATTACACACGTTTATTCTAATAAACGCTTCTGTCTGGAAATATCAGAGTAATTGAATTTACTGAGCTCGCACTTCGCTTTTGAACTGTAGCGTTGACCTCGACGACTTCGACGCAACAGTGGAGTACCTCCCATCAACCACCACGAGATGGCGCCAAACACCGCCCGAGACCAAGCTGAGTCAAAAGCACATGAAGCTCCGCTGGTGTCGAGGATATTTACATTTTTTGATGTTGGAACAACAAGGGAAGAAATAAGGTTTGCCGTTTTCACTGATTGTAATTTATAGTGATCCTAGATGACCATTGATTGACTATAAGACTTGAAATCTTGAAATATAAAAATAAAGAAAATTATTCAGAGGAGACAAAATCTTATAAAATCGGAGTTCCGTGGTCTAATGTGCATCTATTGTGGGGGTGCTTGACATGAAAAAATTTGGCGTTTGGACCATGACGTAAACACACAGGTGATTTCACTTATCTGTCTGATTAGACCTCCTCTGATTAATGTGTGGAAGAGAGCAGACTGTGTGCTTGACATCACATATCAATTTTAATATTTCATGTACTTTGGTGAACTTATTTAATTCTAGTTCCACACAGCTTTGACCTGAGCAGAGGACAAAATAGGAGTGCAGGCGTTTTAATGTACAAAGTAACTAGAATATATAACTGTCAAATACTATATTTTAATATATTACATTTCCCTCTGAAAATGTAGAACGTAACATAAAATGAGAGTAAAGTATCTAAAAATTGTACTTAAGGGCAGTACTTGCATAATTGTACTTACATTTCACTAAGGCTGCATTTCCTGCAGTGTGTGCAACAAATGCAACCAGGAATAACATGTTTAAATTAAAATGACATGTTTTTGTACATTAAAGCTAAATAAAAAAGGCATCAATTTCAAGTAAAAGAATACAGCCCAGTCTGTGTTTTTATATGTAACCCCATTTCCTACAGTTTAAGCAGAGAAAATGTTATAGGCTTCAGTTGTATTTCCCCACAGAGAATTTATTAAAATGCAGTAATACCACCAGTGCCAACATCTTATTGACAACACAGTTAACTTGTACATTTTCATGGTGGACTTTCTAATACGTGTTTAGGAATAAAGGCCATGCATGCGCATGAAATAGCTTATTTAATGCACATACTGAAATATTAAGATATTCCCCTAAGATCAGCATGCTGTGTGTAACTCTAAAATCTTCCTGCTCTACTTTCTACTTTTTTTTATTTTACAAAAGATTCCTTTGTAATGTGCAGAGTCATCTTTAGCTACATTCACAATTTCAGTGTTTGACTCCATTGGATCCTTCTCCATTGCTTCCTTCCCCCTCACCATTATGCATACAACCACATCATTACACATTAGCTGGTGTCAAGGTATTTTTAGACCTCCAGACAGCGGGTTGAATTCTTCTTTCAGTTTCCAGCCTTAAGGCTGTCGGACTCCTTGCACATAAAACAATTTAGCCCATTTTCACCCCTTCTTGCCTTGAAGTGAAACAGCTGAAGTGATTGTAGAGCGAGTCAAGTGAGACCTACACATCGGCAAGGCTGAACAGTGCACAATTAAGGCAGCGGACGCGTGACATCAGCTATGTGCCTGAGGTGTGGGGTGACCCTGGCTGACTCTGGTCTGTCTCTGGTCTCTGTCTGTCCTAAACACATACAGCCCTGCAGGCCTCATTGGCTGGGTTAATTAGTGAAAGACAGCCAACACTGTTCACTTTATCTGCTTTGAACAGCAGATTTGGATTCTATAGAGAAACTATGAATATCTATTGGACTGTGTACATAAATTGAATCAGAGTTGAATCCAACAGGCATTAGCTCTAATCAGCTGTTAATTTGCCTTCCTCTTCCCCTGACCGCTTCATGATTATAAAGTATTGTTTTAATTATTTTGTCATTAAAAATTGTGTTGACATATATAAAGGATCCCTCGTATCACTCTGCTTTTCAAACAGGACATCCTTTGCAAAACAAATCGACTTCTAAAAAGCTTATAAAAACCTGAACATTTCCATAAGGTTGTTAGAATTTTTTCCAATATCTTTTTGCTTTTATCCAACTTCTAATTGTTAGACTTATTTTTTCTCCGCTCCTGCAACAACATAATTTCCCCACAGGGTTTGTAAAAAATGTCAATGTGGCTTCAAGCCTCCTACTTAGTCTCCGTTGTTCCTCTCTGTGTTTCTTTCATGCTGGCGGTTTGTGTTCACTTTCCTTGAAGACCAAATTATACCTTTCCTTCCTTCTCTCTCTGCTTCTCTGCCATCGGACCCATGAAAAGCTGTTTACTCTGGGTTAACCATACGGCGAGCCATGTGAGTAATCATTCTTCTCTCTGTGGACTAGGTGGGTTAATAAGTTATCTGAGGACAAAGAGCTGACAAGCCCACCACCACAAACCCAGCAATGGCCTTCCTTCCTTTGGCCTGGGTCACTGAGGTTATCAGTGACATGGGAACAATAGGAAGTGGTAAGACCAATCACATCGAAACACTGTCACTCACCTCATGCATGCCACCACTCTACAGAGTGGTGCTGCATGGGAAAGAGAGCTGTCCGTCCACCACTCTCATCACATGTGATACAGCCAGGCTCCTGTGCTGTCACCACTTTAGCCAGAGTGTCACATAGCATGAAACAGCCCTTTGACCTCCCATTTATTACTACTGCTCAGAGGCTGCCAACAACCATGGGCTGTTGTGAATGTCTCCTCAGAGCACTTGTGCAGAACACATGACCCACCACAAGACATTAAAAACTATTGGAAGTGACAGCATACTTGTTGCTGGCAGAGTTATGACTTGCAAATATTTCCAGAGCTATTACAAAAGTAAAGAGAAGGCAGAAGAACTAAGAAAGAAATAAAACAAAACCAAAGCATCTGCATGATTATTTTTATTCCTTTTCATGTTTGACAGTCTGAATTATAAATATCAGACCAGTATTTTTACTGATGTGTGTATTTCTTGCACCATGAGTAATACTATAATCAATATTTTCTATTAAAAAATTGTCAAATAACTTGTATGTTATGTAATGTAACGTTAAAGCGTCACTTATAGTGAAAAAGCCAGATAACTATCGCCTGACTCTTCAGTTCCCCTCACATCTACAGAGCATTTTAGTGTCCTTCAGCTCATTGTTTTGGTTTTGCGGCTCACAACTTTACAGCTCTCACAGCACAATTTCCCTCCGACACAGTCTGCTGTTTTAGGCTAAAAGTTTGCCAGGTGACCAGAAACGCAACTCCAAATGAATGCTGTATTTGCTGGATGTGTAAAAAGGCACATGCTCAGCACATTTGCTGTACTAGCCTAAAAGGTCATTGTTGTGATTACAGCTTGTTTTCACTGTGTGTTGCCAAGTAATTTTGTATGCAGGACTTGTGATTAAGTATTGTTCGGGGTCATGTCAAAATCCAAAATAGTTTTTCTACCTACAGAGTTCTGCAGGAGTCCTAAAACCCGGAAATGTTAGCATTTTTGTGTTTCCAATTCCCTATTGGTTAGCTGCCTAAAATAAGGTCAGGGGTTACTACAAGCTAAAGAGATTTTTTTACATTTTATTCCACGACATACATAACATAACGAAAATACGTTAAGAAGCTTTTACGTGTCTTAAAAAAAGCGGTTGCTAACAAATGGCTAAATGAGACTACAGGAGTAAATTCTTGTTGTGTTTATAGTTGCCCTCTTGCAGACTAACTAAAACTTTCCAACTTTTTGATTTAAATTACATGATTTAATTTCAAGTTGGAAGTTTAGTTTAGTGGTGGTGACACTGAAGTCATGCGACTGTCATGTAGTTCATTCCTGTGAAGATGATCTTAAGTATATAGTATTACTTCCTAGAATAATCCAAAATCCAATGTAAAAATCCCATTGGCTCTTTGTTGAAGGAACCAGGGGGATGCTAACTTCTGGGTTGGCGCACAGAAATACATCTTCCCTCCAGCACACTTTCTTTCACCACTGAATGACCAAACTGTACTGTATCTAGAGTACTGTTTGGAGATAATGTTTTTAAATTCATCACTAAAAGTTGTAATTAACTATATAAAAATACACACACAAGAATCTGGAGGCATTACAGTCATCTTTTGCTCTAATTTCTGAATTTTGAGAATAACATTTAATCTGAAAAGCTGTGTCATGAAGAATACCTTCCAGAGATGCACAGAGTGATGATGAAGGTATCTTATCTAGCTATGTTTATATTCTCTGGGTTTAAAATTATTTTGATGTCATTTTTCAGGTGCCAATTTAGCATCAGGATAGATACTGTAAACATGAAGTTATTGGCTCATAAGTGGCAACCACCCCTTGTAAGTGTTAACTTTAGATCAGGGCTGTAATATGATCATGAAGTCAGTTTTCAGGGTGTCTCCTCCCCAGTAAGGAAAAGGCGTACTGCACAGGTTGCAACCTTGTCAAAAACAGCCAGTAAATCACAGCTGGAGAACGCAGCCCTACCGTGCACGCCCTCAAGCCTGGAGCCTACGCACAACCAGTCTGAGTCAAATGTGTGTGCTGTGCCCTGGCTGCCCTCTGGGTCTGAGTCAGCTGGCTGGTGAGTGTAGGTGTTTTGAGGGCATGGGCAGTCCCCTCAGTAACCTCAATATGAGCCTCCACGTAGCTTTTTGTCACTGGGCAGAATGACTGAGAAAAGAGAGCACAAGATACATCCACTCTCCAACATATTTTTGTGGTTAAACAGCCACACATTCCCTCCTCCAAATCTGCAGCTTGTTTGTTTCCTGTTGATGTGGATCACCCACGGTGTTAAAACGACTCTCCCTTGAAACCACTTAATGCACAAGGTTATCAATGGCTGACAACGGAGCCTCGACAGTGAGGTAAACTGTAGA